GCGAGCTAAGGGGGTGTAAGTATGTACAAATAATAATGAAGGGCAGAAATTATACATGACATAGCCCCAAGGAGCCGGTCTTCATCGATGAAGGGAATCTTGACAATTGCTTCCCAGTCTTGTTTCTTCCCGTTCAAATCTTGCTCGAACTCCATGGGGTAGAAGTCCAAGATCGGGGAGTTTGGATTATACATGAGGTCCTGAAATACCTTCCATCAGCGTAAACGAAGGCATGTGAATGCAGTAGAGTCACCTGGTAAGCGAGAGGAATCAAGTCTTTGCTCGCGGACGGGAGTACACCCATGAGTTGCTCAAACGGATGGAACGGTTTGCCGAGGGCGAATTTGAACACCATATCTCCGACTCCTTGAAGGTCTACATAAAGAGGATAAGTCGCGGTACGAGTGAAGGGAAAATGAAAGTTACCAGATATCCGGGGTGCGTAGTGGCAATTGTAGAACCAACCCCAGGAGGCGACACCGCTGTAGTAATAATGCATCACCCACTGCAGACCCTCTACATACCGGAAGATCAACGCCCTCATCTCTTCCGGGTTGTCGTATGATATCTCCAGCTTCCCCTGTGGACCACGAGTTAGCATGAACGTGAAACAAATTCACCCCAAGTTCTCAGACTCGCACCTTGTAATAGCCCCGCTTCCACTCATCCATCTTGTCACTGATGGATTGTTCATATCTCGCATCAAATCCACCACCTTCGTCGTCATTCATCACCGGAGCCTTCTCATATTTCTTCAAGACTCGATCAACCGCCAACCGACTCTCCTCGTCCCCCTCTTCTGAAACGTCTTCCCATTGCCCCTCCTCATCTCCGTCTCCGTTGCTGGGGTCGCCGCTCGGAGGTTCGGTGGTTGACTCCTCTAGAGCGCCTGGCAACCTCCACGTAACGAGGTTCTGGTCGTCATGGTCATATTCGTCCCAAGTCAATGGGAGATGTAAATCATTGCTGAGGGTACTTATGAACTTCCGTTCTCGGGCGGGGAAGGTATTCGGCATGGTGAGTGAGGTGTTGGAACTCGGGCGCTTCCCTCGGTTAGCCACCACGAACACCTTCACTTTGTCGAAAATCTCCCGTTGAGGTCTCGTCAAGGCTGTATGACGGCGTTTCAGCGCATGCGTGACTGGACAGAAAATATACGAACTGAGTCCGGAACGCTTCCGCGCCATCTCCATCTCCTTGGTGGATTTACTCTGCTTGCCCTTGAACCAGTTCGCATCGGCATACTCCTTCTCGAATATCTCTCGTTCCCAAATCTTCATCTCGTCCAGCACCACCTGTAGGCGCTTCGTATTTATCGTACCACTCTCATTGATGTATCCATCTGTGCGGAAAGCTCTCAGACGCACGGTCCATCCATTAAATGAACACATACCGAGTGAAGGCAGAACCTTCTTGTACACATCAAACAATCGCTCGAGACCATTCTCGTTAATATGTAGGTCAGGAAGGTTGGGTAAGAAGTCATTCCCGACGAAGACTGCAAGCAGTATGAAGTCGTCTATGACACGCTCCAAGCTATAGTCGAACGGTAGGACGGGTTGTATGTCGCGGAACTCCAGATTGAGATATTCGCGCATTAACGAAAGATGTAGTAGATAAAAGTTAAGAGACTCCAAACTGTAGATCATCAGTAAATAGTCGATGAGCAACTGTACTTCGACGCACCTTGGATTCCCCTTCTTCTTGGATGATGGTCCAAACTTGACCTCCTCTCGAAGGAGGCAGAAGTGGGGATCATGACTGAGCAGTCCGAGCATGATAAGGTCGGCGTCGAGTCCGTACAAACAATGGCGGACGTTCGGGTTGTAGTCTGGCTGCGCTCGTGACAGCCGGATATACTCCATGATCTTGTGCTCTCCCTCCCCTGGGACTTCGTGACCCGAGAGCACAACCTGCACATCTCTCCAATTCGCATCCTCGGTGATCTTCTTGTTTATGAAGTACCTCAGTTGATCAGATAACTTCGCCATGAACACAGTTCCTGTAAAGCTCATGAGCGACGGCATTGGGGAAAGTCAACTTCGTACACACCTGGCGTGATACAATTACTGTCGAATGCCTTCTCAGCAGGTAGTTCCTCCCCCTTTGCCTCAGCCTTCTCACGAACCTCCCTCGCCTCTTTCGCCGTCCGGAAACGACGACTACGTTGTTGATTCATCTTGGCGCGAGGTGCCACACCGTCGATAGCCATGAAGAATAGCTTCTTTGGTTTGATCTTGCCAAATAGCAAGTCCACGTAGGCAAATATCGACGTGAATATTTGTTCTTCGGACATCCGAAAGTGTGCATCCTCATCATTGGGATGCGAACCTGCAAAATGCTTTCAGAGGGTGAACCAATGGGAAAGACAGTGTTCCGTACAGTTGTGGATGATTCCATTGAAGTCGAGGTACAGATTATCTGTACAGGAAGTCAGCGGGTCATTCGCATCGCTATCTGGGTTAGTTACCGAACTCAGGAATCTTGTTCTCTTGAATGAGCTGGGATGTCAACGGGTAGCGCTCACTGCGAAGCCTGTCATAATATGGTTCCTTCGTTGTAGCAGTGCACTCACGAGATATAGCGGAAGAACTGGAGTGTACACGAATCAGCTTGCCATTCAAATCTTTGCCGAAAATACATACCTTCGGGATACCTGGTGAACAAACGAGTGTCAGATTCAATACAGCACTGTGAACTGCGCATGTACGCACCCATTTTGTGTCCGAAAGACGGCAGGTAAAGATACAGTAAAGACAAAAGTTATGCGTTCGGGTCCGATACAACTGGCGCCCACACAACCAGCAGGAGGCTCTCACCATCACTGCCACGCGGCAAATGCGCGGAGTTAGACCCTGGGACCATTCTAAATCGACAAACCATGCGGCACAGCGTCATTGACAATTCCCGTCAGCTCAGGTGGGTACAACCAGAAATATTTCATCGGCAAGTTGAGCTGAAGGCCGTTCGTTCAAGCCGTTCAAAAGGTCTCCACTTCCCCCCCGAAGATTGTACGCGCTGTGTTATTTTTTAAGTCTCGATTTCCTGCTTGTCGACTGACAATTGCGTCGACAGCTGCATGGAATGTTGCGAGCTATTTCGTCCCGTGGATCCATCTCTTCTTTACTCCACAGCCGTAGCATACAAGCCAGGCTGGGCTCCTCAAGCGTTCAGAACCCAATCCCAGCCACCTTCCTAAGAGGTGGCACATCCAAGGGAATCTTTCTCAACCGCGATCACCTTCCGGAAGACAGGTCCCAATGGGCACCCATTTGTCTGGGAGTCATGGGATCGCCTGATACAGCCAATGGACTGCAGATCAACGGTATGGGCGGTGGCATTTCCAGCCTCTCCAAAATATGTGTTGTCGGTGCTCCGTCTGAATCTCAAGAGGCGCGAGGCCTCGATGCTGAGTATACCTTCATTCAAGTCGGCATCCGTGACTCCGTTATCGACTTCTCTGGGAATTGCGGTAACCTCTCCAGCATGGTTGGTGCGTTTGCTCTTCAGGAAGGTATCTGTACCAGGGACGGATCCTCCAACAAAGTCACAATCCGTGTATTCAACACGAACACGAACTCACACATCCTTACTACGTTCCCCGTCGCATCCGTGAATGGGCGCGTCGTTCCAGTGCTTGACCTCCCACAAACTTCCGTTGCTGGGGTACCTGGGAAAGCTTCACAGATCATCCTCGAATTCCCCAGACCCGCCGGGGCCCGGACTGGGAAATTGCTCCCCACCGGAAACCCAGTCGACTCGATCGACATACACGCTCGCCCCGGAACCCAAATACCAGCATCACTCGTGGACGCTACCAACCCGTGCATCTTCATCACCCTTGCCGACCTCACTCGCGTCCTCAATGTCCCCCCACAGTCCACCGTCGACTTCGCCAACGATACAGTAAAGGAGGTCATAGAGTCGATTCGTATGCAGTCCGCCGTAAAGATGGGACTGGATCCCGGCTCGCAGGCTCAGCCCAAGATCTCGATTATCTCGCCGCCATCCTCTGAAGATCATGACATTTACATTCAAGCGTACTCGATGGGAATTCCACACAAGGCCGTGCCAATGACCGTCGGTCTGTGCCTTGGGGTCGCAGCGAATATCAATGGGTCCCTAGTACAAAGGACCGCGCAGAAATCAGAAGCCAGTGCAGCTTCGGGAGGTCTATTGACGATGAAGCATCCGAGTGGATTCGTGGAGGTGGGCGCAGAATTTGAAGCTGATGGTACTGTTAAAGGTGCGAGGACTGTGCGAACTGGGCGATGGCTTATGAAGGGAGTCGTGTGGTGGTAAATCGCGAGTCATCATTACCAATACCACGACCATGAAGTGCATCTCTTCTGAGAATCGGACTGATTATTTCCTGTGACGCGAAAGCTAAGGTGAGTAGCTCAATGAGAGAAGTGCAATTCTAGCTCCTGCAACAGAGCCTCATGTACAGAGACATCGGTGGTTGTAGCGGTGGAGGGAAGCTACAGGATCAGTACCCTATGACTTCGACGGTCCAAGTGAGAGCAAATCTGATCAATCTGATACATCAAACAGGAGATACTGGATGGATGGATGTGTCCCACCAATTCGGGGCCATAGCACGTTCTGCTTAAAGAATTCGCTCACAAGCCAGAGGGTACTCTGTTGGGATTACCGTAATGTCCTCCTAAAATAGCAACAGGCAAGTCATTGACTTACATTGCAGATTTCAAGAACTCGGCGCTCGTGAAACCCATGAAGTGCCCTAAGTCCTCAAGACCTATCTGCGTCGTGCAAATGGGGGATATTCGTCGTGAGGCAGTGGTACAGGTACAGGTAAGGGACCCTATCGGGTGGACCAGGCCCGCGCACTATGAAGGACATTTCAGGACGAGCACCAATTCACCGAGCAATGGCCGAATAGTGGGAGCATCTGCAAAACGTTATGCCTACTGCATCACTATTTGAATGTGCCTTTCAATGAACAATGTATCGACCTTTAAACACCGTTCTGCCCACATGGCCGCCTGGCGAAATGGCATCGCGTCTGACTACGAAAGGATCCAAAATTCCAGGTATCAGGAGATTGCAGGTTCGACCCCTGCGGTGGTCAAGTTATTTTGCCCTTCAAGTTATTGTGTTGTTTCCCTTTTCTTTTTGATAGATCATCAACTCGAAACTATATTAACCCGGAAATGATCAGGCGAGCACATCCTCATTTCTTATGTCCAACAATGTGTCGCCTGCGAATATGGCCGCCTGGCGAAATGGCATCGCGTCTGACTACGAAGGGATTCAAAATTCCTGGTTATCAGGAGATTGCAGGTTCGACCCCTGCGGTGGTCAATTTATTTTGCGCATCTGATTTCTCTTTATTTTATATTTTATTTCAAGTCTTCTGTTCAGCTGCGGGATAGCAATTAG